CTGCAGAAAAGCATCTGGAGCTCCTGGTTGACAAGCTGAAGATGAGTCAGTAGCGTGCCTCTGCAGCAATGAAGAAGGTTAAATGCATGCTGGGCTGTACTAGCTACAGCATACCCAGCAGGTCAAGGAAAGTTGTTGTTCCTCTCTACTCAGCTCTTATGAGGCCACATCAGGAGTACTGTGTTCAGTGTGGTGTCCAACACAAGAAACACATCAGCAACCTGAAAATCCAGTAAAGAACCACTAAGATGGTTAGGAGGCTGAAGAATATAACATAGGAAAAGAGGCTGAGGTGAATTGGTCATGTGTCGCCTCCCCTCCCACTTCCCCAGCATCCTTGAAGATTTTTGCAACTCACCAGGCTGAGGCCCTGAGCAATCTGATCTATGAAGTTAACTCTGCTTTAAGCTGTTGGACTAGAGATGACCTCCAGAGTTTCCTTCTGACCTAATTTGCTCTATAATTTATGATAAAAGGAAGCTAGATTGCTCCATTTTAGCAGTCACCTGCACTTCTGCCCAACTGAAGTGACAATGGAAATGCACCCTAAGTTATAAGCCTACTCTTCCTAAGCTTCTACACAATTGAGAGATACTGGTACCTCTAGAAGATGACTACAAGTGCCTAAGATAATCTATTCCCCTGACTGGCCATCAAAAGAAGTATCTTTCCAGTGACTACGAAGAAGGAGCAGGGAGAAAAGGCTTTTAAGTTGCATGCCCAAGTTAGATGCTTAAGGTGACAAAGTAGGGAAACGTCCTGAAGGTTCAACCAGTAAAGCCTGAGAATACCACATATATAATGGACACAAGGTGAAATGCAGCTGGCTTATGAGGCTGGCAGTCAAGTTTGTAGGGATACCGGTGGTGCAGACAATCTGGGATTCATCCCAGAGTACTGAAGAAGCTAGCAGATGTTATGGTAGGAACCTTCTCGATCATCTACCAAAGGTCTTGGGAGTCTGGGGAGGTTGCCACTGACTGGAAGCTAGCCAGTGTTACTCCAATCTACAAAAAGGGTGTGAGGGAACACCCAAGGAACTACAGATCTGTTAGTCTACCCTCAGTTCCTGGAAAAATTGTGGAGATGATTATACTAAGTACCATTGAAAGGCATTTAAAGAATAATGCAATCATCAGGCACAGTCAGCTTGGGTTCACAAAGGGCAAGTCCTGTTTATCTAATCTGATATCCTTCTATGATAAGGTTGCCCACCTAGTGGATGAAGGGAAGGTGGTGGGTGTAGTTTTTCTGGATTTTAGTAAGGCTTTTGATACTGTCCCTCACAGCATCCTTCTGGACAAGTTGCCCAACTGTGGGATGAGCAGGTTCACAATGCGCTGGGTGAAGAACTGGCTGAAGGGCAGAGCTCAAAGGGTCGCAGTGAATGGGGCTCCATCTGGCTGGAGACCAGTCACCAGTGGTGTTCCTCAGGGTTCAGTTCAGGGGCCAGTTCTGTTCAATACATTAATCAACAATCTGGATGCAGGAGTTGAATGCACTGTTAGCAAGTTTGCTGATGATACCAAACTGGGAGGTGCTGTTGACTCTTTTGAGGGACCAGAGCCCTTGCAGAGGGATCTACATAGATTGGAGCACTGGGCTGTGATGAATGGGATGAAATTTAACAAGTCAAAATTCTGGATTCTGCACCTGGGACAGCGGAACGCCGGACACAAGTATAAATTGGGAGAGGAGTGGCTGGAGAACAGCCCCGCAGAAAGGGATCTGCGGGTGCTCGTCAACAGCAGGCTCAATATGAGTCAGCAGTGGCCCTGGCAGCCAAGAGGGCAAACTGCATCCCGGGGTGCATCAAACACAGCCAGTCAAAAGAGGTGATCATCCTGCTGTATTCAGTGCTGGTGTGGCCTCACCTGGAGTACTGTGCACAGTTTTGGGCCCCACAATTTAAGAAAGATGTGAAGGTCCTTGAATGTGTCCAGAGGAGACCAACACAGCTGGTGAAAGGGCTGGAAGGAATGTCCTGTGAGGAGTGGCTGAGGACCTCACAGGCTTGTCTAGTTTGGAGAAAAGGAGGCTGAGGGGCGACGTCATTGCTCTCTACAGCTTCCTGAGGAGGCGAAGTGGAGAGGGAGGTGCTGATATCTTCTCCCTGGTATCCAGTGATAGGATGTGTGGGAATGGTTCAAAGCCACAGCAGGGGAGGTTTAGACTGGACATTAGGAAGCATTTCTTTACCGAGGGTAGCCAAACACTGCAGCAGGTTTCCTAGAGAGGTGGTTGATGCCCTGAACCTATCACTTGGACCCTTAATAACATGCTTTAACTTTTGGTCAGCCCTGAATTGGTCAGGCAGTTGGACCAGATGATCACTGTAGGTGCCTTCCAACTGAAATAGTCCATTCTATTCTATCTCACCCACCCTTCTATTTACAAATGAATGACTTTCACAGCAAGGCACATCCAGGATGAACAATGAATCTCACCCAGGCATTTCAAAGTCAGTTTTCAGACCAAAACCATTCTGACCTGAAACCTTGACTCTCAAGTGTCTGGTTTTTGGCACACTGCTCATCAACCTGCAGCAAATCATGTGAGGTTCAGAGGAAAGAAATACTCTGAAGCTTGGCCTCCTCCCTTCAGGCTCCATGCAAGATCTGCTAAAGAACTTATTATTGCTCTTCACAGTGCTGGAAATAACTTTTCATTCTTTCATTTAGGACATGCCAGATAGGATCTGCAAGAGCCTGAAACTGTCACCAAGCTACCCAAAATGAGGAAACTGTTGGGAGAGACTCAAGTATGTAACTTGGATACAAATTCTTGAATACAAAGAAAGTCTAAATTTCTTTAAGAAGTTGCTGAGGGAAAAGCAGGCAGTGAAGGTGCAAGCAAACATTGAAAACTGACCTGAAAGACAAAAGGCACAACTATGCTGGCAGACTGTAGTTTTCCTTGGCAAATCTGCTTAAGAGACTCAGCTATGACACTCCCATGATGTAATGTCCAATAAAACATACTAAGTGCTGCTTAGTATCTTGTCTTCACAACATTTCCTTCTTTTGTATCAATGACAAGAATTTTGGTACAAGTATACTATTAAAATGACACTGACTTCTAAAAACTATCAAACTGGCCTTCACAAGTTGTACAAGCACTCAGAACATCCCTAACCAGAGTACACATCACATTCTTAATCATTCCTGATATGTCCTCCATAAGAAAATAATTACAGAGTCTTATATAAAAGTCTCCAATGGTCATCCTAAGAATTTGTCTCTTGAGTTCTTCAAGCGAAGATTATTACCCCTGCCATATAGGCCTACCTGTACCAACAAACTGGAAAGCAAACAGCCAATATTTTGATTAGTTTAATTTACTCTGACTCTAACAGAAAAATCATTAAAGCACAATCATACCCAGTAAAATAGGTGAGAAACGAATAAATGAGTGAGCAAGATCCCAAGGCCAATTTTCATCAAGAAATTATTAGTTCAGTTGAAAGAAATGAAACCTACTCAAAGGGGAGGAAAAAATATCAGAAGTGAACAATAATCACCATAAATATCATTTGAAGTGGCTGTGCTGGTTTTGGCTGGGATAGAGTTAATTTTCTTCATAGTAGCTATATGGGGCTATGTTTTGGATTTGTGCTGAAAACAGCGTTGATCACACAGGGATGTTTTTGTTACTGCTGCGCAGTGATTACACAGATTCAAGGCTTTTTCTGCTTCTCACACCACCCCACCAGTGAGTAGGCTGGGGGTGCAAAAGTAGTTGGGACGGGACACAGCTGGGACAGCTGACCCCAACTGACCAAAGGGATATCCCAGACCATATAACATCATGCTCAGCATATAAAGTTGTGGGAAAAAGAAGGAAGGGGGGACATTCGGAGTTGTGGCGTTTGTCTTCCCAAGTCACCGTGATGCGTGATGGAGCCCTGCTTTCCTGGAGATGGCTGAACACTTGCCTGCCGACGGGAAGCAGGGAATGAACTCCTCATATTTTGTTTTGTGTGCATGTGCAGCTTTTGCTTTACCTATTAAACTGTTTTTACCTCAACCCACGAGTTGAGATAAAACCCCTCTCAGCCTACACTAAGCTCTGTGATGGCACCCAATGACTATGTTGTTAAGCTAGATCATTCAAAGCCAGCTCAGGTAGCTCTGTAATACACTGTCAACTCTGGTTAAACATTACAGGCCATGCCCACTGAACTGCTATCATACAAGCTCTTCACAACACAGCTGTTCATGGGTTCACCAAATGATTCCCATATTTCCTGTGGTGGGACACATTCAGATACCAGATTACATGTCCTCTATAGTTTTTCATAATTGTGAATTGATGTATTCTTGTGTGTTTATTTAACAGAGCCCCAAGATAATTTCTCCACAACCGTATTTGAACTGCCAACTTGCATTCAGATCAAATAATACAACAGATCTAAAGGCTCACTTGAAAAAACGTCTGTGAAGGAATTGCTCATGTTAAAATACAGCTGTCTTACAAACACTCTATGAGTAACACTACATTCATCATGTATATGCCAGCACTTGCATATTGCAGGAATTTAGAGGGCTTACTCATATGAATAATTCTTTACAATTCATTAAAGATACAAGTAAGGTTCCTAAATTTTGTTCCCACTTAAGCCATCCCAACATAATGGCATGAAGTGTATTAAAATATTTATGAATATACATTTACAGGTTTGATTTCTTTCTAAAATAATTACTGAAATATTTCTTTATGCTTATAAACAATAAAACATTTAAAAAATAAGCCTATTACAAAATAGACTTTTCTTAAAATAAATTCCTAGTGTTTAATGGAGATTAGGGACAGCAACCCTTCCAGCTCTTCTAACAATACCTGCTAAAGCAGATTTTTACAAAATATTTTATGAGGGTATAAATATTAATAAATTCCAACCACATCAAGCTGACATTTTTAGTTTTGCTATACTTCACTGAAATGTATGAATGCAGAGAATATACACAATATAAAACTAAAGGGGCAAACAGAATGCTTACTTTCTCTAAATGCTTTACAGTAGCCAAGGAATGACAACAAAAAGAACAGGGCACACAGTAGGTCTGCTCTGCCAACAATCCCAGCAACCTTAAAAAAGAAAAGAAAAAAAAAGTTTCAGATTACCAGATTTTATTCTTAAAAAAACTGAGATGAAGGTACACACATATATACAAAGTGAAATGTATAAAAGAATATCACTGTATCACTTTTGTTTTTTTCTTTTAACCTGGTTTACTGGATTAGTGATACCCAGTTTTCTAAGCCACAGCCTACTTTTGATTGGGTTCTGCTTAGTAACAACTAGGTAAATGATATGGCTTTAATTAATGAAAAACTGCTGTTTTAAGAAACAAAGAAGGACCTTGCTGAAGAAAATGTTGGCTCTGCCCCATTCCATCTGTTTTTTGGATCAGGTTGCCTTTCAGTAGAACTCTCAGCAAACATCCTGAACCCCAGCGAAATTGGCAGCTCTGCTGAAATACAAATCAGGACTGTCTACTTTCAGAAGACAAGCCAGCCTTCAAATTGCAGTCTGAACATTCAGAATGGACAAATAGCTTCCAGCCTGCAGAATCGGAAAATAAATCCCCCCTATGGCAGTTCTTTGTGTTATATTAATTGATTGCATTAGAGCTACCTCCAACTGTATCTTGTAACAGAAGCTGTTCTAACGCAAAAGAAAATGAGACTCGCATTCTGGGACCTCTGTACTCTGGATCTGTGCCAACCTATTTAAATCAAGAGCATTCTCAGGGCCATCAACAAGCCCTTAAACTGTATTTACAATAACTTGCTGAGACATGGTATGACATATTCTTGGATCTTCATTCCTCAATTACACAAGTGTCAGGATACACCATGAATTTTTTGTGGAAATCATGACACAGGGGAGTGGCAGGGGACTGTATAGGCCCTGATGCTGGGACCTCGCTAGAACATATACCCAGAGCAACGGTCATGGAAACACCCCTTTGCTTTCAGTCTAGCTCTGCTTCCTGGAGTGCTGGGTTCCATGTTTCCAGGAGAAGATGTACATAGAGGCCTTTCTGAAGCAGGGCAGAACAGCTACAGTTTTATTTTTAATCCACTTTTTGAGGTGATGGTTCGGGGACTAAAGCAGAAATTTTGGTTCTTGTGTAGTACACTACTTGTAAAACGATGAATTGTATCTTCATTCTGTTTAAAGACACCTGCTAACCCTCTCTTAGGAAAAGGGCATTTTTTTTTGTGTCAGTCTGACATGATGGAACAACTATTTCTAAATAACATCAGAGAGAGAAAGACAAGTGTAGAGGCATGAGAGTAGGACTGAATCCACTGAAGAGACTCTTTCCAACTTTACTCTCAGCTTCACTTGAGCACCACAAAAGGAGAAACTGCTGGACTTCTAAATTCAGTTCAGAAAAACTTCTTGATTTATCCAAAGCCATGCACCTAACTTCCCTGCTTCTTTTTCTATCTTATAGAGGAATTACAAGAATTAACTCAATAGCTGTGGAGTGCTTTGAAAGGTGAAAATAATGAAGTGTCATTCTGTTTCAGGAGCTGCTGTCAGCTAATGAGATAAAAGTAAAGGTGAACTGAGACAATTTTGAAAATAAATGCCAACTTGTTAGAAAGAGATTAAGGGGTTAGTAACACATATATGGCCTCAGATGACTCCAACAGTACAATGTCATCTCAAATGCAGGATCAGGCCCATAGTCTCTGGTAACAAGGTAAACAAAAAACCACAGCTTTAAATTAGTATTAGTTATATTCTTATGTCAGGGTTTCATGTAGTATTTCATATCACTCAAGTGTTACAAAGAATACGCATTTTTTTAGAAGACAGAACTACACCACAAGAGTGTTTACTTGTAGGTAGAAAAATGATAATGACAGATGTTTTTCTTACATAGGTACTGAAAGCATTAAACTTTTCAAGATCTGTTTTACATGACAGTTTGTTTTGTGCTGTATATACCAAAATCCAAAGCAGCAAACAGACAGATTCTTCACAATTTTATGTCAAAATATGTCATCTCATTTCAAAACCAGGATGTCATGATGCTTAAAACTCACAGCTTTAAAATCATGAGGAATGCTTTTTGAGGAGATGTTGCCTGACACACATCTCACATCACACATCACACCTGACCTCACGCTAGAACCATAGCAGTATCACGACTGCTTCTGTGTAGCAAGATTTATTATTCAGTGTGTAAATGATTAGAGGACTTTTTTCACTCCTGGATCTTAGAAGAGACACGGTATGTAGCATGTTACTTTTTTGCTCTTCCTCCAGTGTTTGCCCAAAGCATACGCAAGTCTTTAAACCTTGAGTATGCAAGCAGACCGCATCATTTGTAATTTAATCGACATGACCAAGGTCTTATTAACATTTGCCTGCTGATTTAAATATATTTTTAGAGTGAAATAGAATGAAGAATAAAATTACAGATATTGATAAAGGAGTCAACAGTAAGCCTACTACAAAGTTAAGACTCAAGTGAGATTTCTCTTTACATGTCAGAACATCAAAAGCACTGAAGACTTGTTTTACTTCACTTTGACATCTAGAACTGAGTTTGGAGAACAAATACTAGGGGCCCTTCTGACACTAGCATAATGTGCTGTCACTAAGAAGCTATTCTGCAGGCAAGCAAACACCAGAGAATGATTGGCAGGATGTTTTAGCCACACTGCCAAATAAGGTGCCAAATTGCTAATACAGAACTTTGCACCATCTCTAGGTTTCCAATACATGCAGGGTCTCCAGTCAGCTGAGAGGCACAGCTTTCGGTAACATCTTCCCCATCAATCATGTGCAAAGCAAATGAAAAAAAGCCAAACCAATGGCATATTGTGAATAAATGAAAAATCAGTGCCACATATATAGATTAAGGTGGACTAAGGATTCAGCGTTCATTACTAGCACAAAGATCAAAGTTAAAGTTAGTACTTTTTCAGTAGCTCAGTCCTTCCAAGCTCTAAAAAAAATGATTCCTGCATTGTGATTATTTTATATTTCATTTATTCATTATTATAAGATCAAGCAATCAGGGACCGCATCCAGCAAGCCCACTGGCATAAGGCCATAAGATTTTCTTAGCTAGGAGTGCAAAAGAGCTTTTTAAGAAGGAAAACCATCTCATCTTCACTAGAATTTCCACACAAGGACCTTGATCTTTGGTCAGGTATTTTAACTGGTTGCTACACATGTGCCATGTTTCTATCCTGAAACTTTACAGCTTCAACTTCCAGCCACTGTTAAGCTTTTGTCTGCACTATTAAAGGGCCCACTACTATAAAATTTGTGTTCCTCATGTACATAATTACAGACTGTGATTAAAAAAAAAATCCTTTAATCTTCTCCTTCATATTAAAAACATAAACCCATGGAGTTCGATCTGTCATGACATGGGATGATTTTCAGTCCTTTAATCATTTTCATGGCTATTCTGAGCCTTCTCCATTTTTCCCAGTGTCCTCCTTGCAGCATGGATTCAAAACCAGAATGCAGTGTTCTAATACAGTCACATATACAGTTCATATAATGCCCCCACTCCAATTTTCTGTCTCCTTGTTTTTTTTAATCAAAGCAAATGGAAATGAAAAGTGGTTATGCGTTTGCATTCATTTTATCTTCCATTCTCCTTGGTTGCTCATGAGCTAATATTTCTAGTAATGAATTCTTAATCCAGTAATTAGGGAAACTCTGTAGTTTAGGGCTATCCTTCTTTAGTTATTGTACTTAAGTTATTTAATTTATCTTCCTTAATAAGGTCCAGCCCTGTGGAATTACAAGCTTTTGGACATACTAACTGTAATATTTGATTGTCCTCATAAGACATGTGCCAAGAGAAGCGTTAAGAATATATAAAAGCAATGTGTAGACTATAAGGCTATGTCAGAACTAATTAGTCAAGATGGTCAAGAACTTCTAAGATATAAATTGTTGGAGTTAATTATACAGTACTTACACATTCGGTATGCACTGGATGTACGGCAAACAGCAAAGCAGCTAGAAGAGATGTCTTTGGAGCCAGGTTTAGTCTTCTTCCTTTATTACTGAATTGCAGTCCACCCAATAAAATCGAGAACACATCAACCATCAACACTGAGATAGTACAATGCAGTATTATATTGATGACATGGAAACCAACTGGGTAGAAGCCTCCAGCAAAAAGGTAATTAATTCTATATGGAAACAAAAACATTAAGGCTAGGAATTACATCAATAGTTTGAGATGTGCAAACAGAAAACCTAAACAACCCCATAGCAAGATCATATTAGACACACACTCACACACACAAAAAAAAAAAAGGCTGAAATACACCAGCAAACCCCAGTATGTGTGGTATTACCACTTAGCCACCACAGTAGGTTAGAAACAACATCCTGCTCTTCAGTCAAAGGTATTCATCTGGGATACCATATTCAGCATATCTACCCTCTCCAAAGACATATGTTCATGCTATTATGTTGATCATACCTATCACTACTTAGAACTGGCTTTTGGTCAGCAATGTAACTTCAGTGTTGCAATGCAGGAGTGTCCTACAGATCCAGCCTACTGGGGGGATACCCTTGGGCTTAAGGAAACTATGTCCCAAAACAACCTGATGAAATAATTTTAATTAAATCCACACAGTGAGGAAACTAATATGTACCGAGACTATGATTCCCACTGACATTCTAGCTGAAAAACATCCTTGCATTTGGACTGATGATGTGGAAACCATCTGGGTACAATCCAGTATCAATCCAGAAAGCAGTCAGTCAGCACATCGTAGTAACTAATTTGTGAGACTGGTCAGAGAGAGGTTTCATGCAAGCATTAGAACAAGAAGGAAGCGTAAGTGAAAATTCAATCTAAAGCCCTATTCAGGATAGGAACTCTGTGGTAAAGACAGGGAGAAACATCTTGCTATTATCTGTATACTTTTATCAGTAGGTGAGATATACAGAAACTTAGTTTGAATAAGGGATTTTGTATAGTTCATTTGGCATATGCATCTGGCATAAGTGAAATCTATTAAAAAAGCCTAACCTATTATAAATGTGATACACGTAAAAGTTGGAGCTTAGGGAAATTAAGAAAACCAATTTCTTACTCATGAAAATAGCATTTTATGGACCATCTCCACATGCTCATCTACATATTCAGATACAGCAATGACTGTATCCCAGTTTGCTCTTTAAACTAACCAGGATGTTACTAGAGATGGAATATACCACAGAGACCTTGAAAAGAAAGGAAAGCATGTGCTGTGTAATGCACTGAAAGCTTTAATAAGTTTAAGACTCTGACACATTCTATTCAGTTGCGTATTTTCCTTGACGAAAACGTGAAGAAACCCCAACAGTGAAACCCACAGCTCTAAGTACTTAAAACACTGACACTGCACTCAAGAATCAAAGTTTTTGCTTGAATATGAGGACTAAGAGTGGGAGTACTTCTTCTGCAATCACTTAGTCCCTGGCTTTGACTGGACACAACTGCACAACCGGTGCCAGGTCCCCATCCATAACACTTAGTTGCATACAACTATCTGAAAGGACGTTGTAGGGGGTTGGCATTGGTCTCTTCTCCCAAGTAGTTAGCGACAGGATGAGAGGAAATGGCCTCAAGTTGCATCAGGGGAGGTTTAGATTGGATATTAGGAAAAACTTCTTCACAGAAAGGGTGGTCAAGCATTGCAACAGGCTGCCCAAAGATGTGGTGGAGTCACCATCCCTGGAGGAGTTCAAAAAACAGGCAGACATGGCACTTTGGGACATGGTTTAGTAGGCACGGTGGTGTTGGGCTGATAGTTGGACTCATGGTCTTAGAGGTCCTTTCCAACCTTAATGATTCCTAGATTTTACTTTCATTAAAAAATAATCCAGCCACCAAGCCAGGAAACATGAAATTAATTATTACTCTCCCCTTAATTGGTTTAGTGGTGGACTTGGTAGTGTTAGGTTAATGGTTGGACTGGATGATCTTAAAGGTCTTTTCCAACCTAAACGATTCTATGGGGAAAATAAACAAGCTTAAGACCGAGTCCTCAAAGATTCTCTGCATTACGGTACCCTATTTCTACATGGTCAACTGCTTGCTCAAATCTTTGTGCAAAAAACATGAGCTAAGCATTTACAGAAGTAATCCTCATAAACCTTTAGTTATTTGAGAAAACCAGCGAGTTATATATCAGGCAGACATCTCTCACTAGGATTCTCACACACACACACGCACTTAAAGTTAGAATATCAGGGGGGAAGAGGTGGGAAGACTATTCAGTGACCCAGTGGCAAAAGGCCACAGTAGATTGGTGCTATCTATTAAAAAACAAAACAAAACAAAACAAAGAAAGTCATTTGACAGGCCACCAGGAAAGCAGAGAACTGAAACTACAATAGCAGTATAAGCAGCAGCATGGCTAAGTGAAGGGAACATACAACCTCCTAGTTCTTTGATGATGTGACCTGTATACTGAACCATACTGCCCCCAGTACCAAGGTATATAAGAGCATAAGATACAATCTCTGAAAGGTACACTGAAATACAGAATGTCAAAATAATGTATACTGTGGGAAAGAAACAATTTGAAAATTAGAACTCAGTTTGAGGTTAGGGTAGTGAACAGGAAAATCATATTCAGGGAAGGTACCCAACTACCCTCCAGATACTTTGTCTGTCTCCTTTTCTGTTGCCTTCTCCCTATAATCAATTGAGCCAATATAAGTTAAAACCAACCAAACAAACAAAAAAAATCAGACCTCGAGCAAAAAGACAAGTCTCACCTGAAAGTTAGGACAGTTAGTGGTCGATATGACTTATGACTGGTATTGCTGCTGAGTTTGCTACCCCAAAAGTCATGATGCCACAGGTCACCAAGTGGGGTTTCTGCCCTGAGGTCCTGAAAGTAAACATCATAAATTACCAGATTCTTAACATCCTGTTTTGTTCAAAGCAGCTAAAACACAAACAAGTTCTAACTAATATGAGCTCATGCTAACACGGACATAGCAGGCGCTTTGTTGGCTCACTACTGACATTTGACAAGGTACCCAAGTTTGCAATGAAGATCGCATCTTGGATGCCTGTCATCATAAAGACCAAGATGCTTGGATTTTGTAAGTAGGCATAACCACATGAAATTTAGTAGAGCTATGAGTATTCATATCAGTTGATAATCTGGTCAATAGGCTGAGATATCAAACATAAAAAACCCCTTTACCTTACAGTTTTGTAAAAAGCCTTTGATTTTAGGTCTAGGTTATCTTGTGAAGGAGGCCAACTACAAACTGCTGCACACAGTTATTTTTCTACCAGTGTCAGTAGCCCACCTACTAATGAAAGCATGAAAGCAAGAACACTAAAAATAAAAAACAACAACTAGCTCTTTTTGAAGCCTTACTTTGCACAGGACACTATTCAAATAGCCTTTTTTTTGTTTGTTTTTAATTCCTAATACATGAAACCAAGAATCAAAATCTCTGTATACTGCTCTAAAAGATTAATAGTGGAAAACAGAAAAGTAATTAATTATTTTAATTTGGGGTGGGGTAGGGGGCTATTAAAAAAAAAACCACTGCAAAGGAAAATTCTACTCTTTTGTTTTATCTTAAAAACACGCTGCTAATGAAAAAATCCAAATAACCTAGACTACTGAATGGAAAACATACACTTTAGAGAGTTAAAAATAAGGACCCTGGTAGCATCCACCAGAGTTTTCTGTGAGGACAAGCTGGGAAGCTGAAACTAACATGTTCATCTTATACTTGCCCCTCTTCTCCTACTTCCCTGAGGCAGTTAAATACTAATTTATGCTATAACAAATATGCAGGTTAAATACACTTAAGACAGAACCTAAGAACAAAATTATACTAGCAAATTAATAGCGTCTGTGCGAGTGCTGGCATTACACCTGCAATCCACCACAAGTTACTCTACCTTCTCCCCTGAAATTGTTCAAGAGACCAACAAACCAAAGCAGATTAACAAGCCAATACAAACACAGTAAGCAGACCATGGGTTGCTAAACCCATGAAAGGCCTTACAAAGCCTGGTATCCTATGTCTTATTCCTCCTACATCTACATACAAGATTCCCACATTACAATACCTTTGGTTCACTAACTCCAGTTCCTCTCGAATGCTGCTACCATCTCACTGACTTCTGCAGTATCTTGAGCACCTCCTGTGGTCTCCAGTACCTCCTATCTCATCCTTAGCTAGCATTTGTGGCCTGCCAGCAAGGCAAGAGAGAACACATACCACTGCTAGTCCCAAGGTACAGCCAAACGTCTGGGCCATGCTGACCGGCTGCTGCTAAACTGAACTTAAAATACCTCAAATTTTCTTGCTCCTCTCTTAACATGTTCTGACTTTCATCCATCCAAAAATCCAGGAAGAGATTTATTTCTATCACTTGATCAAGTTTGGCCAGTATTAGACAACCAGTTCAAAAAAAAAAAAAAAAAAAACAAACCAAACAAAACATTAGGAAGGGGAAGTAGGCTAAAAATCCTAGCACACTGTCAAATGATGTGAAGCATTCTCTGATAGGTTACTAACCAATATGCAGAAAAGAAAGCAGGGCTAACACTATAGTTTTTGAAAATTCCTATATTGCAGCTGTGAATTAAGGCATTCTCAGGGAAAATCTTAAGAAATCAAGACTCATGGGGGATCCTATTGGGCCTAAGAATTATCAAGGTGCAAAGTTTCTTCACTCTTTCACAGATGTTTCTACTGCCAAACAATAGCTACAAATTTCTTTCTTCTCCCAGGACTACAATTTTGGCCTTCAGCACCTAAATTCCCATTCCATTTCTCACTGGTACGCACAAACCCCAAAGGTCATAATTTGACTCTCAGAGCAGGAGTGCACTCAACCAGCAGCCCACTATATCAATCAATATGGCCTGCTTTTCCAGGGGCAAGCTGGGACTGGGCTGTACACCAACATCTATCGAAGTCTCCGTACTCTGCAGTGGACAGCTGTTAGTGGGCATTGCGGCCCTCAGACAGTTCTTCCAACCAACAGCGCTGCTCCTCATATACATTTGCCAAAGAAAGGGACTAATAAAGAGAGACTTTTTTTTTAGCATTAAAATTTTAAAAGTATGTTTTCTGTGTCACAGATGGTCTTCAATAGCTTGAGATGGGAAATATATTTGAGATGTGCAAGGCTAGATTTCCCTTTCCGCTAGAATCAGTCTTCTTTTGTCTTCCATAGAAAGAATGCAGGAAAAGCTGAATACATGGAATTACTTAGTGATTAGATTACACTTCCGTATGACCTAAAAATCTTTAGTTGTGTATCTTGCTCTTGTATGAGAAAAAGTTTCTTACATTAATTTTCCCACTCGGTGGACTTACCCTAAAATAGGAATGGTTTGCTCTAAGAGACACAGCTGTTTAAGAGTTCCATATGATTTTCTCTAAGAACTGAAAGCAGGTATCAAAGAATCTCTAAATATTTGATTAGCAGCAGCTTACAGACAGCAGAGTTCAATACTTGAAGAAAGGTCAGTTTTTCTATATAAAGACTTATGGAAATGACACATTGTGTCTGAAGCTCCTCTTAATCCAACTGTTTGTCTTGCCAAGCTAGTAAATAAATAAAGACAAAAGTCACTGTTGTGTACCAGTTAAAATGCTGCTTAAAATGGACAAGAAAGCATGTGGAAAACAGCCTTGAACCCCAGTAAAATCCGTTAACAGACTGTTCCATGATAGGGTAGGCATGGGTCAAATAACAGTATACCTTTGGCTAAAAAAAAAAAAAATTGAAAGATTGGGGTGGTGGTGGTAGCTAGTAAATTAACAAAAACGTCACTGTGGGGTACCCAAGAAAATACTGGTATAGTTAATGCTCAGTAAATCTACAAAATTACTTCACCTGCTGTCTCTCCTACTGAATAGGAATAAAATATGCTATACTTTGTTAAATAAACTGTGCCTTTGCTAGATGCTCTCCCTCCCCGTTAAACTGGTAAACTCATTGTCTCTGCATTTTTCTTGTGGATTTTGTATTTCCATATATTCATTCCCCATATTCATTCATGACCCCTGTGTTAAAATGATAGTCACAAAAATCTCATTTAACTTCTAGGGAATAATAGAGGATTTTGATGTGAAAAATAGAATAAGCCTCACAGTTTTTCAAACATACAGACTGGGTATGAATTAATCTATTTAAGCAGTTGGTTGAATTTCTCAGCATTGCCAACAGCTATAATCCTGGTGCAGGTTGTTGTGTTGCATAGATAAATTGAAACATTTTGAAAGTAAAGACTGAAAGAAATGGAGAAAGATTACAAGTGTGGAAATTGCACATGAACAAAACAACCTGCCTTGTTTCAACATCAGTCTTTTGTTCATTCTTTCAGGAAATTAAAATAGTATTATTGTGCCCCAAATAAAACTTTGCAGAATGAAACATTGCCAGGAGCTGTGTAATTTAAAATATAATGTTTATTTAAAAAAAAAAATTAAAAAAAAATCACTGTAGGTTCTTAATTTGTCTATAATATTCTCTTAGAAGCTTTGAGATTTATTTCCAATTTGGCAGATGTATCTTTTCCCCCATACATTTATAACTCAAGGTATGATGACTTACACAAGCATAATATAAATTTGTCTAAGGAAACAGTAATTCTGTGGGATTCTAAAAGGCACGTTGTGATAAGTCGCCTCTAAATCTTGTGCAAGGCAAAAAAAAATGTGAATTGTGTTCTTCTAGCAGTGTAAGACTCCAGATTACCTCCCTGTAACCCCATGGCTTCAGGAAAACAGAACCAACAGATGAGGGCGATACTTTTTACCCTGTGCTTCTCTTTCCAAACATTTAACAAGTACCTTCCAGAATAGCACAACAGCTGTAACACCAAGACGCACCCATAAGCACAGGCTCACTAACTGCTATATGGGATTCTATGAAGTGTCTCAGCAATTGAAGACATTCAACTCCTCAAAGTCAAAAGAATCCCAGCTAGATGTTTGTTCGAGTCACGTGTTAATTTCTAAGGATTTCAAGGATTGTTCATTGCAAGTATAATCAGTTTTAAAATAGAGCACAAGAATATTCTGCCTCTATTGCAAAAAAAATACAGTTATCACAGAAACTTTAAGTAGGGAAGGAGCATAAGAAAAGGAAGCTTTCCTTGCTCCTGTAACATTTTTATGGTGTAAACCACAGCTGGAGAACCCCTGCACCCTACAATTGCTTAGTGATGCGTCTTACAAACAGAGTTAAGTTTATTCATTGGGCTTATTCATCTGTCACCCTGAGAAGATAATGAAAAAGTCTCCTATTAACATCAACGGGTATTAGAAACGTCTACAGCATACTCTCACTGCCTTAGAAATGAGCATAAAATTAGATCTATAGGCAGCCTTGATGTGAATAAGTGTTACTAAACATCACATCCAAGTTTGCTGCAACCCTAGATAATGCCTTCTTAGATGACAAGCAGAAAAAGTCCATTTGGTATGGCAAAAAGATCCCTTCTTCTTGACTAGATATCAACACTTGTTAAGCAGAGCATCTCACTTGCAAAAGAATGAAAGGGGACACATTCTGAGGGGGAAAAAAAAAGCGCCGTTTAATTTGTTCACTCTTTTGTTTATGCATTAGAACCCAAGTCATATTATTCAAACAGGTTTAGGAGTAAGATTTTGATAAGCATACTTATGCTTCTTTTTGGAAGAGCACTGCTCCACAGCTTGTTTGTCAACCTTAAATAAGGCTTACTTTAAAAAAAAACAATAAAACAAAACAGAAAAATGAAGTTCATAAAAAGGAATATCACAAGGAAGCTCTTTACTAGGATGAATATTTTGGGCCTACTTAGATCAACTCTTGTCATTATTTCTTTTCCTATGACCATTCATGTCAAATGGGGCGGGGAGGGGAAGAAGAGAGACAAACCTTATTATTGATGATAGCTTCAGAATCATCAAAGACAAAATCTCCATCATAGCTGTTAGCAAAACAGAGGAAGGAAATTAATGCCACAACCATTTTAGCCCAGTATGACGGAAGGAGGAACCATGATACGTCATGGTCCAGATTAGGTTCTGTTTGTGCCATTCTGTGAAATGCTTGTTCCAAGTTGGGAGCTTCAGCATTATGTTGGTTGCAAATCTGAAACACATACAAATGCACAGTTATAGTTGCATTTCACTAAAAAATACTTTAAAAATGGAGAGTTGGGTTGGGAGAGGAGAATGAAGTTTCATACAATCTAACATTTTTTTCTCTTGGTGCATTTCATAATTACTGGAACATATCTAAACGTAATTTTGTACTTCAAATGTGGAAGAAAGGCACAGTTTCTCACAGTCGGAGCACAGAGATAAAGCCAAGAAATTCTTCAATTCTAAGTTAAAGCTTTGGCACAGGTAAATTCTAAAACCTTGAGCAAATGACTGTTTTTCTGTTTCTTACTATTCTTTTCAGTATAACAAACAGGGGCATCAGGGGAACTGTGGAGCATTTATAAAGTTCTTAAGAGAATGATAAGCACTATAATTTCCTTCTGAGTGTGAAAAACAAACATCATCAATTGCAAAAAGAGCTCAACTCTCTTCTGTTAATCGAACTCAAGGACCTAGTCTTACACATAGCCCATCCACAGAATTCATACAAACATCACAGGCAGACATATACAGACAGCAGTTAATGGACTAGGCCCTAAATCTCAACAATTCAAACAATGAGACAAGAAGATGCATACAATTAAGACCAAAGTAGTGTTCACTAGATCACTCTGCACATCACAAGTACAGTGTAGGCTAAATTCCACTGCTGTATTCATGGGCTTATGAGGTTGTTGAGGTAGATGAAAAAGACCATGCAACCCAACAGCACCGAGTGATACATCGGTGCAGAGGTACTGAGGCTGGAGGTTTACCCATGAGCCACCTTTACTTGGAAGGGTCCCTTCTGACACTCCAAAGCCAGCCCTCCGCCTGGACAGCTATTTCTGCCTCTGCTTCTCCGGTGCTCTGACAGTATTGTGAGTGGTCTTATTATCAAGTGCTGCTAGAAATGGCAGGGGGAGGAGGTTACAAATGGAAAACTACAGTAAAAGCAGGGCAGAATACAAAGTTTTTATTTGTAAGCCCCAAGAATGATAGGCACATACAGTAGCCCAGCTTCACACTTTCTTCTTATTTATTAGCTTGTTAAATTAACTGTTACACCCCTGAAAACGTTGCATTTAATGTCTTCATACAGTCTAGGAAAAAGCTTCAGTCATTTGGCTTCTTGAACAGACTTGACCATTAGAGCTGCTAAGGCAATTGCTTTGTAGCTTTCTGTCGGCAACGCTATATTCCAGTCTCCATATATTCCCAATCTCTGTACACACACATGCACAGGGACAGGTGGTAGTCCCTGTCACACCAGTGCCCCTTCTCCCTTTGGGGACTACACAGCAGTGCTCCCAAATTCAGATAACGTCAGTAACATGGAGCTGTGCAACCTGAGAGAGAACGGAGCTCCTTAGCAGAGCAAAGCACAGAAGCCGCTTTAAGAGGTAAACCTTTTCTCAGAGTAATTCACCCTTGTGCTCCTAGTGTGACGAAAACAAAGACTTAAAAGCAAGGCTGTTCATCAGAGAGAAGTGTATTGCATTGCTCGGAACAGCACAGGTAGAGCATCAGTGCCCAGTACCGAATTAAAATAGGTAATCCACTCAAAATTCGTTTTGCCCTGAAAGTTTCTCCCATTACGGCTGTTCTATTGATCTGACGCACGCCTG